TGGTGGGCGCCAAGTCACCCTCCGGCGGGTGCTGGATCTGAAATTAGTGTTCGCAAGAAATAAGCGAGCATCCTCACACAAATGAAGTAATGTGTGACCAAACTGATAAGTAACGAACGGAATGAATGAAAGCGTTACTGTGACGCATATAAACCCATAAAGCAAACAAAGAGTATATGATCCAACACTTGGGAGTCCCAAACACCTGCAAGCCGCGCGTTATAGCGTGACAACAAGGTGATAACGGCAAAATGACATTCTCCAGGTATTCATCGCGTCCTGTCATAATTGTCTTGCAAAGCAAAGAGTTCAGCTACCCCCGCCCCCACACACACGCATACATTTTAAACAGGCAGTCACATCACTGAGCGCGATCATGTGTCTCCAGGAAAGCACAGAGTGGATCGGACAGACACAAATCTGTATGTCCAGGTGGACCGACAAACTCTGGGATAGGGACACGCATATCAAGGCGTGATCAGCGAATTACGGTATTGTACAAAACACCGGATACAGTGACCAGGAAACTGCATAGATAACAAATCAGTTTCGGCATACGGATAAAATCATAAACATGATCTAAGGACTAAAGACAATCGAATTAGGTTGTAATATAGGTAAGCGGCAACGCAAAAAGTGAATGTCAATGATGACCAGTAGACCCTCAGCGAAAAGTGGATTTTTCTGCAGTGATTTACATTCGAAGTAAGCGAAATGTACTGGAGATGTAAGAGAGGTATCAAAATCATAATAGGAATAGTATGTCTGCTGTAAAAGATAGTGGTAATGACGAGTGTCAATAATTTCACACGTATTGTACCTTGAGTCATAAGCTAGCTAGCCTCAAATGGCGGTGATACCAGTAGGACAACAGGAGGGGAGAAATGGCATAACCATAAGACAGGAGCAACAAGGCAAAAGGTATGGTGAAAAAGGATCAAAGTGAAGTAATACAGTCATCCCTGAGACCGTCAGCTTGGAATCCGCTTCTATGCGGGTAGTCTGTTGAGAGGTTTCACCTGAACCTTCAAACCACATTTCCCTGGATGCCAGTGTGCCTTACAAGTAGGCAATCCATCATGATGTTCACTTATCACATGGGCTTGCAGGTTAAATGTTGTCCGCAACATTACGCCAACTTAGATATGACGGATAGAATGAGTACCACTTCAAGGAGAGGAGAGTAGGTATATGCACAGTCAGCGTATAAGATCTCGCGACTATCCGACGGCGATTCAGTGCTCCAAATCATTTTCAGAACCGGTAACATTGCGTAGCGTTATGCGCAACACGATACAGTAACATGTTAGCAATGGGTTGATTAGTACCGTAGGGATAGTAAGCAAAACTTTAAGAATGATAAGAAATTGGGTCTATTAACGATGGAATATAAGCCAAGACGTAAGCGAAACGCGTCAGAAGGCCCGGAGAAATAAAAACCACATCACATGATCGCCGAGGTGAAAACAAAACCTTGGAATCGAGCACCAAACGACGCAACACACAAACCAAATGTGCGTTGTACACCTCTTTGCGAACTCGAGACTGCTATATTTGCACAAGACAAGCGATTGTTCCTATGATGAGGGAAAAACTTGACAATTTGTGTGGTCAAATGGTCTAGTTAAAGGTCATTAGCAAAAAATGCAATGAATAAACTTCGGTCGCAGCAGAGATGCAGCGGTTAGAACAGGGAGAATAGCCACAGCAAGTCAGTTGCTCAACAGTGAGAAAGATGCAAATTGCGATGGATCTTGTTGAAAGGACCTAGTTTACTAAAAATGAAGCATCAAGGACAGAGAAAAAGGAAGTGAAAATAAGTGTGCTAAAAGGACAGGCAATGACCAGATAGGAGAGATGATAGTAAGCGACGCTACTGACTCCGTAATCTCGCTACGCTCGACGGGAGTTAAAGACAGACGTGATCGATGGTGGTAGCAAGCAGTCGAAAGACCAAGTGGATAAAAAGTGGAGGAGCAAAGCAGTTTATCGGCACATTTGATGGATAATGGCACAGGCAGTGAACTACAATTCTATGCAATTGGATCAAATTAAAGTCTACAGAGTGGAACCACGTCGGAATTACGAAGAAGTGCAGTTGATCCGTAAAGCAGCGAGAATTGGGGAGAATCAGGACAACGTGAGCTGGTCCGTAAAGCGGTGTCGGAAATCGGGATGAGACAATCACAAACAGCGACGCATCACAAGATGACGCAAACAAAAAATCACAGCTTGGCTTGTAGTAAATGGATGTGAATTGCAGTTCAGAACTTGATGTGTTTGCGAAGTAATGCACAACATGGTGGATATAAAAGCGCATGTGCAAGAAGACGAGCTTTTTCAATTCGACAAAGGTTTTCGAGCAGCTACTGTGTGTAGGTTCCTCATAATGTCACCTGGGCAATCCGTGAATTCCCTTATAGAGGTGTAGTATTGACGAATAATACACGACGAGGCAGATGATCACCAAACGAGCAATGGACGTAAACAACCTACTACGACGGGTTAGATTGCTCGAAATGGACCACTGCGGTGTCAGACGCTATCGCGAAACACCAACCAGCGAATCTGATTGGTGTCGAGCCATTGCTTCCAGCGGGTAAAAGTAACGCACTTCGGACATGCAGGGCTAGTTATTCTCAGAGCGAAATGACCATTCATGGGATCCACAGGTTAGCACTGTATAGAATGTACTGATATATGCCTTACGTTTGATCGATAAGTAAATATTCCCTGAACGCTACAACTGTTGTAAAGGTCCAACAAAAAGTTAACCAGACTGGACATCTGACTGAAAGACATGTGAGAAAACTAGATAGCATTCGACCTCCTCCCAATAACGCACGGCAAACATGGATTCCGTGAGCATAAAAGATAATATGCTTCCGGTATGTGAATTACCAGGTCCGCCGCAATCCATCGGAACTGTCAAGACAGGTTTGTAAGTTATAAGTTGTAAATTTCAATCGACTCAATGATGACCTACAGACACAGAAAGTAAAATATTAAGCAGGGAAACACAAAAACAAGAGCGCCCGTGAAGAGATTGCTGTAGCGGTGGTGACAGGTGAGCTGGCCTCAACAACATATTTGGTAATGCAACTACCAAAGGTGAAACAGCTATTCGGACAAATGAACTGATCAGTCAGAACCGGCAGTTGTTTAGCAACGGTGCAACAGTATCATACCTGCGAATAGGAGAGACATATGAACTGATCCAATCCATCCGGACGCGCCGGCAATGCATCTCGGTTGGTCACAAATAAATCTGTTGCAGCACACCTAATGTGCTGCCTAATCACTCGGCTGAATCGCTGCTCTATCTGAACTCTAATTGATCGTATCGCCATAAGCAATAGGCGGGGCATGTCAACACAACATTATCGTTCGATCTGGAGCGCACTGTCCATCGACTAAGTCATGGAGACTATGTTAACTGGACCCGATCCGCGTGGAGCTGCTCCTACGTGGTCGACTTTTTGACTTGGAATACGCCGACGACATTGAGATCATATGTGGCAGCTCACAAGTGTGCCAAGTGGCACCGGATAAATTAGCATTGGATGGCAGCCGTTTCGGGGTTTGTTTTGCCTCTCCCCTTCGAAGTACAAAGTCCTTCTAAAGGTTGACAGGGACACACTACTGTGTTAACTCTTGGTGGGGATCAACTTCAAGTAGTCGAGTAATTCAAGTATATAGACAGTTATATCAGAGCCAGTGGAATGGAAGATTTGATAACGAATCGCATAAAAAAGCTCGATGCACTTTTGCTAATCTCCGCCACTTGTGTCACCCGCGCGACATCAGTTTCGCCCTGAAGGGCATTTACAGTGAAACCGTCAATTCAAGCCGCCGGTGCGATTGCGAAACCTGACCCAAGTCGACAGACATAAAGAAGCTAAGTATGTTAGATCACTGCTGCCTTCGCAGTATAGCTCATGTCTGGTGAAAGCACCGAGTCAGCAATGAGCGTGTACAGTGTCGTGTGTCTGACGCAGGAAGAAAAGGAAGGGAGGCCAAACGATGACTTGGCTAAGAGGAACGTAGACCGTCTCTTCGAAGCTGGCATCGGTTAGTGTCTCCCGACCGCCCGGCTGGGGGGCCGATGAAGACGTCTGGTTGGATAAAGTTGTTGACATAATGAAGAGCCGATCTCAATGGAGCTTGTTGTAACGTTTTCCTTCCGTATCCCGCTTATCTTCCCCCTCTAACTACGATCTCTGTCTTGAATCATAATGTCATTAAGCAGTATGTTGCCTGTTGTTGTTTTCGCATGCTATGATGCTTAGTAGCTCGCTTACTCATATATAGTTTTGCATTGCGGCAAAATTGTTGTAGTGTGTCTCTCACTTTCAGCTGGCGTGTAACGATGATGATGATGATGCTCTGTCTACATCTCGTCCATGACATCATGCGTGACCGCCTAGAGCTGATTCTTCTAGCCTCGGCGGCGATGCCGCCAATCCAAATGCATTCGCAAGCCGTGTAGTGGTGCATACTTCCTTAAGTGGTTTGTACCTTCAAAATACAAGGCGCTGTTACTGGGATGAGCTGGGCCGGCTCACTAGCGATTCCCGATGCTAGTGAACAACCGTGCGAAGTTATTGATGTGTTTGTTTAGCTTAGTATCTGTGTCACCGAGGTTTGTCATATAATCGAAAAGGTGACTACACGCATTGCCAAGGTCAGTGAGACTTTTCAAAGCCTCTGCTGTTGTATGAAACGGAGATTTAACCGTTGAGTGAAGAGAATGTTAGAAGACTGATTTAGTTTGATCACTCCTGAACAAAAAGCCATGCTTATTTGATAAGGGAAGTGAGTGACTGATAAGGAAATTTGTGGCCGACCTTTATGCATGTTTGGCGCACTTCTGCTACTCAAGTGCATGACGATGTAACATGTCTTCGACGCCTCTCCGTGATGACTGCTGGATGAGAAGGCAGTCTTGCACTTCTCATGACTGCCGTTGGGTTGAGTGGACCATTCTCCGAGCTAAGAGCCAAGACACCACTTCAAGTAGGGCCAACCCCCTTCCTGAATTTTACATGTGGTTACCAAGTCTCAAATAAGCTTTGCCGAATCTTGAGCATTCAGGTCTGAAAGTAACTGCAGCGCTACTGATGTTAGTGGGTCAATAGTAGGGCTGATGGATTGTACAGCGGTAAGTTTATCATATATTCGCTTTTGAAAAGAACCACTTACTACGTCGAAGGGAATCGGGCAACACAAGCGCCGTATGTATCCGATTGAGCGATGCACCCTACTTTCCAAAAGCGAAGGGCCGTGGAGTGAGATAGGTGATCGAATTGCACGAGAAAAGGCTGACATATTGTTTGACCAGTTCAGATAGAGATCCACGGCGCATCTAAAGCTTCGAGAATTCATCTCGAGTCGTAGCAGCTTGACCGGTGTCTTGCACAAAGAATAGTCGCCGAGATTTAAAGTATTCTCCGACACCAACTCCTATGCATTGCTTTCGCCTCATCTTTGGGCTACAGGTCTCCAGAAGCGTTTGTAGAGGAACAAGAGGACATAATTTGTTCATCTCAGGCCAAAGTGGCGGAAGTTCACTGGTCCCATCGCGTGGGACTATGCCTAACACAACGGAGAAAACAGCATAAATGGACTCTCCTTATCCGATGCCTTACACGGAACAGATAGAAGATAGATGGAGAAGGGAGCTATTGAGCCATGTTATCGACTATCTAAGGCGTCACATAAACCCCAAGCTGTGCTGCTTGGTCTTGTTTCATTGTTCTAGGCTTGGAGAAGGAGTGTATGAGCCTAGAGGGCAGCCTCCCTTTTACGGCCTAAACCGAAGACTAATTTCCTCTTGTAGATGAAAAGGTATGGAGCTGTGTCCTGTCAGACCCATATTAAGCCACAGGAAATAGATTCGTAGACGAGTCTATGTGGCGATACAAGGACTGTATCGGGTGCAGGAGAAAGTTACCGGAAGGTGTGTCATGGATGATGCCTGGAAGCAATGATGCGACGGGCTATAAGGCGCACTGGGCAGAGCATTTCAGCACACTGAGCACTGCTGATAACAGGTCGGCGTCATCCCACCGCATGTCCGACTTCGTAGGACCTATCAAATCACCCGAGTTACAGGTAGCTTTTAAACACAAACCGAAGACGGCACCGGGACGTGATGGGCTTAAGGTTGAAGCGTGATCAACCTAGAGTCCTAAGGTACTGACACAGATTGCCAACCTAATGTTTCTGCTCGAATTGCCAACACCATGTCTCTAGCACGCGCGGATCTCCAACGTGCCCGAAACAGTAAATCCTGCACATTCAGGAGAATATAGACCGATAGCTACTGCTTCTGTTGTCTTACGTGTACTACATAAAGTAATCGCCAAATGCTGGTCAGTCATCACTTCCGTCACCTCTTTTCAACTTGGCTTTATAAGATCGACAGATGTTTAGAAGCCTCTCATGTGTTGCACAGTGTATTCCGAGTAGCTAATTCGGAAACAAGTGTAGTGCCCCTTTGGTTGTACAATGGCATCTGGCATAGTTTCGCATAATACGATTCGCTATGAGGCGTTACTGCCGCTAGTTCGTTATCTCCTTAGACTGTACACACAAACTCAGAGATGTTGTTAGATGGAACAAAAAGGGGTTGCCGTAGTGTGAGACAAGGTGACCTGTCGTTCGCGTCCTTTAGTACCGTAATGGGCGGGGTATACAGTTACACCCGATCAAAAGTATCCGGATACGACGAAAAGAATGAACGTATGCGTTGGATTATGTTAACAAGTTGGTACTGCTTGTGAGTGATGAATTAGATTTACAGAAAAAAATTAGATTAGGATTAGATCTAGCCGGCATGAATCTGAACACCGGAAAGTTTCGTGTTATGACAATTAAATAAAGGACTTCCAAGCACCATTTTCTTCTCCCTAAACCCTACAGGCTTACTGATCGTATGATCAATTCTGAGTGTGATGGATGGGGTTATTTAGATTGGTTTGATGTTTACTTTGGAGGGGAGACGCAAGGTGTAGAGGGTTCTTGAGGCTTACTAGCAAGTTGGCTGAGGTAACGGCTGTACCGCGGAAACTACATCAGCGGATAGAACTGCTGATTTATCACGCCATACAAAAACTGACTCGAGTTATATACATGTATATTTCGCTAAAGTGTAAGAAACTGTTGATAAATTAGGAGCAGATCAGTAAGTGCGGAAGTGAGCATGCTCTCGCATGAGTGCGTGTAGAGGCCAATTTGCAGCTTTTTAGATATTTTTTGGACCATCCTGGAGTAATACAGCAGGTGAGTTGCCGGATTAGAACATGGATAGTAAAAATTTTAGATCTAAGAATCTGTCGAGTTTGGTGTAGAATGATGTAGGGATTTCATATGTCATGATTGCGGTTGGTAATTTGTTGCATAAGACAGCATATCTGATGAGGAAAAAGTGGGAGCCCATGGTTGTTTGAGCTCTTTGTATCAGTTGCGTAACTTGTTGTGGAGTTTGTAATGGTTATTATAATTTATCTGTTATGTAAGTAACAGTACGTTTGCTAGTGTAACAAATTGTGTAGAAGCAACAAGTTTTGCTTTAAACGTCGCAGCCAGAGAGGCTCGATGCGTAGCTGTTTGCAACGTTCACGATAGTAAGGAGTGGATGTGCTATTGAACAAACATTTAGTGAATGACCTCTGTAGATTTTCTTTACCTTTCTTGTCTTACTTTCGCATGCTGCCGTAGATGAAGTTGCAGTATTCGAGAATATGACGAGTGAGGGTTTTAAATAATTCCAATCTGGCAAGGACTGTATGGATTTTGTGGCATAGATTAGACACCGATTGTTCAGAGAAGCGGAAATCGGAATATCGGGTTCCAAGATCACTGGTATACTGCCGTATGGACATACTTTTGTTGTTAAATTTAATTGACCCATCGGGGATCGAGCAACCCAATGGCATTACTTGATTAGTCAGTCGGGAATTTTATCAGCATCGTGCCAGACCATTCCTGAAGCGAGTGAAAATCACCTTGAATTAAAGGTGGTGTGCTCTGAATCGTATCACGTCGGAGTTTATAGACAACCTTGATATTATTAGCAAATAGAAAGAGTTGGCCATTTTCGATGAATACGCCAATACCATCGATGCTGTGGAGTAAAACCAAAGGGCCAAGTACAGTTCCTTGGAAGACGCCGCTGGTACTTGGGCGCAGAGAACAGTGGTAATCACCCAAAGTGCTAAGTTGAAAACGGCTGCTATCAGAAAAGCCAACATAAAAGCGGGTTCCGGATTTCAAAGGGGATAAAATGTGTGATAGCACCGTGGCATAGCATTGTTGTAACGATTTTCAAATGGGTGATTCTCAATAAAGTATATCTTGCGTCGATGTACCCCCAAGTGAACCTGAAGTCTCGCATTCCTAATCAAAGGGACAAGTAGGCCAGCGTACAGCCGGCTGCAATGAGTGTTTGTTTGCGCGTCTTGCGAGTTTCTCATTTCGTTTGTCACTATTTCGGGAGTCAGATTCCACGAGCCAGACTTTGTTCGACTTCCGTCGCCGCGTGAACCATGAGGTTCGCGGTTCCCTCAAGTGGATACGGACAGGAATCCAACGCTATGCAAGATATGACGCCATTGAATATGACATGTGGGCGAAAGTGGAAGCCAGGTGACTTCGGATAGCGTTTCAAGTAATCGGTTCGAGGTAACCCATTCCAATTTATCGTGAACTCAATTTGAGTCACTGATTCAACGTTTACTTGCGATAGATATTTATAGCATTATCCGTGCTTATCGACAAACTCGCATTCGCAAAAACAGTTGCTATTTCAACACGGAAACATTTATCGCAGCCACATCCAATATGTTGGATCACATGAATCTACACACTTGCTTTGTCAAGATTATACTTGGTCAAAAAGCAATTTGTGTATAGCTGCTTGCACACAACTGATCACGCGTGCTTTGGTGTGCCTCGTGTAACTATTTATTTAAGCACATTCTCTGTGCTCCGGAGGTAGTTGCGCGTTTTCTATGACAACTTGTGCCATTCATGTGGCGGCGGTCCAAGCCCGTCCGAGTGTCTGTTTGCATTACTGATAGATACCTGAATTGTGACTTTTCCATCGATCTAGTATCTGACGATTTCGAATTTGCAGCTGCCAGCACAATGGGTGACACATTCAGACAAGTTGTGAGCGTGTTACATTAGACTTAGACTAATGTATTCACGCCGTAAAACACCGGTTTGAAGTACACATTTCTATGCATATACCCTGTGCGGTGACAGGAAAACGAGCAATGGCGAGTCAATTTGAAATATGAAAACATATCATTTGTCGTTCTGAGATTCTTTGTCACCAGCAAGAAGCACTGAACTTAGTCTTATCCATCGAATTGCCGTGCCCGTTGATTACCCAGTCCAAGTAACCGGTCTTACATTTAATGTGCCTACACCCCCAGGGACAGGCGGTGCGATAAATTACAAGTGGCTGCACATGATCAGAAGCTTTGTCTCTGGACTTCGAAAAAAGAGATTCGGTCGTACGAAACACATTTAGGGTACCACAGTAAAGTATCTTCCGTTGCTTAACGGCAATCTGTGCGTACATGCAGCTCGGTCACATCACCATTTAGTAGGAAGGCGGTCAGGAAGATCGGAATTTTTATGACCGTTTGCGGCGACACTTTAAGCTATCGGGTTTCATATTGGGTTCGATGAGGCGTATGCATTTCTTTTCTCAAGGAAAGCTTCTTCGTATCGATTGAGTTCGTCTTTAATAGGATTTCGCTAGTACAAAACGGTGCCTAAAAGAAGTAAGTTTAATCGCTGTAGATGCAGTAGTTAGTCATCGAAAGGAGAAGAGAGGGGGTTACATTTTGTCCTCAGACAGACCCCAGTAGTGCCTTCAAATCTCTTACCACACGGTTTCGTGTTGGCAGGCATCAGCAGTACGCCGGTACGTAGAACCGATCTTTGCTGCCGCGCGACCACCACAGTCGTACGTGGACTAAGGATACTGCGAGGGTCGCCAGATTTCTAGGTAAATTCGAACCCGCGCCCTTAGACTACAACGCAGGCTTGTGATCCTTAAGGCTACGGGTTAGTGGTGTTGGAATTTCGGGTAAGCATAATACCGCAGGTGTATTAATACGGTAGGTTAAATGGAGAAGGGATCGGTTCCTTCTAAGCATATAAGCTTATCGCATCAAGAGGATAACAAAAAGATGTCATCCATGATTAGGAAACAATCAAGTCAGATGGCAGACACAAATGACAATGAAAGAATGGGAATGGCTTACTACAGCAGTAGATAGCGATCCAATTTTGATGCAGCACTGGGGGTCAGTTTTCAAAATCCTCTGCTTGAATTCTCGTATATCCTTGCGAGTCCAAATGATGGCAGGAAGCAGTGGTAACGCATCTGTCAAAACGATTGAATGTAAGCTCACGAAAGAGAAAGTCAAAGGTGAGACCGAAAACAAAACTAGAATGAGGCAGATCGCTTGAAGCAAGCAGAGAGAATGCGAGCCCGGAGTAACCCAGACTCGGAAGGATGTGACGATAGTCCATGCAAACTGGACTACGAAGCTAAAGAAAGATCGCTGATTTGCGCAGTGCCAGCAATGCCTGAGGAATGCGTGGTTTAAATGGAAGGCAGACTTACTTCAACTGTCTGTCAGGCTCTCAATGCATGCGAACAGGAAACAGAAGTCAAAAGGAGGAAGCCAGCTTTTAAAAAATGAAACAGAGTGGTGATAGAATGAAGGCAGTCGGGTGGAGAAAAGAAAAATAAGGAAAAGGTTCTTGTGAAAAAACATGAAAGATGTGGAGGACACCATTATAGATAGATAGTCAGAGCACGTATAAAGAGCAGCGCTTAAATCAAGTGAAGTCAAAAATTGCTTTATACACATTTTGCAGATGGGTATTCAGCGTACATTTGCCATGAAAGTCACGTCATCAAGGATCAGAGCATGCAAACTGAAACTGTTTTACGCGAATCGCAACTGTTAACGGTGTGTAGGGGAGAGTAAAATAAGGACTGCAGACATTCAATAAGATTTATAAGTTTACTCGGACAACCAAACTTACTCAAAACCAACCACAATGCCTCGCGGTTCACCGTATCCAATGCCATGGTGAAATCAACAAAAAGCAAGTACAAAAGCTGGTGTCGTTCTCTGCATTTCTCCTGCAACTGACGAGTCGTAAACACCATATCCATAGTGCTGCGACTCGAACGGAATCCACACTGCTCTTCCACCACGTTAGGTTCCACAACCTGACTAACGAGGCCGTTATGAAGGATTCGGGAAATCACCTTGCCCACACAACTCAGCAAGTTGATGCCACGATAATTCGCGCAACATTGATTGCTCCCTCTGCCCTTGAACAGTGGTAGCACAAGCGTATCCTTCAGATCAGGAGGCATCTCCTCCTCCGTCCGTACACATTACATCAAGTGGTGCAGCGCAGTCAACAACGCGGGTCCACCGTGTTTCAATACTTCAGGCAGGATCCCGTCGGCCCCAGGCACACTTGCCGTTTCGCAGCTGAGCAAGTGCCCACTGCGTCTCATCCAGTGTCGGCGTGTCCGCCAGACTCCCCTTCACATCGTGCTGCTTGAGGCCGTTCAATGTAGGCCAGTCGATCTCTGAACGTTGTTCAAGAGACAGTCAAAGTGTTTCCGCCAGATCTGCATTATGTCTGCTGTCTCTGTGTAGGTAGCGCCTGAACTACCATCGATCAGTGTCCTCAGAGGCTCCAATCTGGGTCCATACACCGCCTTCAAGGAGTCAAAGAATTCCTTGTGTTGACGGCGTTCGGCGTAGCATTCCATCTGCTTCGCCTTCTCCGTCCACCATGCACTTTTAATGCGACGGAGCTCTCGGGTCAGTCACCGTCGAGGTTTGCGAAACTGACTCTTCTTCCCCAAGTCACTGGGGTCTGCCACATGCGTAGCAAATGCTGCATTCTTCTCGGACACCAATGCGCCGATCGTCGCATTGTTCTCATCAAACCAATCAGGCCGCTTACAGTTTGCGCGCTCGATGGTCTCCTCGGCAGCGGCTGTCACCTGGTCGCGAATGTGGTGCTACAGGTCGCCCACTGTGGCTATGCAGTCCACATCACACAGGTGTGCAGTCATCGCCTTCTCCAGCTCAATCCGTTTCGCCACAGTACCGAGGAAGAGAATGTTAAATTTACGCCGATTCACGACTATAGTGCAATACATAGATCTACGAAAATATATCTACAGTTTGGTCCGAACCAATTTGTGATCAGTGCCACACTCAGCCCCACGCAGTACACCTGTCATGCGCACAGCACGCTGACGTACGATAACATAGTCAAGCAGGTGAGCGTGACCACTCCGTGGGTGCGTCCAAGTTGCTATCTCACTCGCACTCAGTGCAAACCGAGTGTTCGTGATCGTCAGGTCGTGAGTGGCACACAGTGTGAGCAGCCTGCCCCCGTTCGCATTCGCCGAACCAACGTCATGCGGACCGATAACATCTGTCCACACCGATGCATCACGCCCAACGCGCGCGTTGAAATCACCTAGCAGAAATAGTTGGTCGCTGCTCGGCACAGACAATATCATGGAGGATAGCTGAGTGTAGAATTGATCACGCGTGTCATCAGGATAACATATGGTAGGACCGTAGGTGCTACTAAAGGTGACAAACTTACCTCTTCCGAGTCGTAGGCGAACAGTCATCAGTCGCGCGCTGATGCCTGTTGGTCCACCCACCAGCTGGCCATGGAGGCGATCAGATATTGCAAATCCGACCCATGTCCACGTGGTGCTGAGGCGGCGTTGTCCATCCTGTAGTATGCGTAGCCAGCACCTGATTCATGCAATTTACCTTGCTCAGCGAGCCGAGTTTCACTGAGCACCACAATATCGATGTGGTAGCGCCGCAGTTCCATCGCGAACAGTGCAGCGCGTCGCTCGGGGCGCTCAATCGAGTTCCCGTCAAGTACTGTGTGCACGTTTCAGCACCTAATGTTCCGGGTTTTGCGCGCAAGCATACGATTGCATTGGTGGGCGATCGCACGCGAGGTCGTGGCTGCGCTTCGGAATTTTGCTGGGGTGATTTCGCCCGGAGCGTTTGATCCAAAAGACTGACCCACAAGGCAGTGGAGAGCAGATCCAGCTCGGGAATGTGGTTGCAGAGACAGATTGGGATGTGCTTAAGGTCCGTCATACGCAGCCACTGAAGTTCTGGAACAATTCATTAGTGCTTTGCGACCGTAGTTAGATACGCACCTGCGATCACGGCCAAACGCAGGAGGGTTTTGGTGGGTTTGCACTTATCTGACAAAGGGCTGCCTGGCTTGAGGCGGGCAGTAGCAAACCAGTGAACACCCGGAGGTGCCCTCCCACCGTCAGAGAAAATGCGCGGCGCTCGTGCTCTACGCCAATCGAGCTGTGAGCTTATAACCCGCAGACCTGTTGTCTCCCATGGCTAGGTTTTAAAGGAAGAGGGACATCGACCAGTTCCTAACCTCCGAATAGGATGGGGTTTGCACAAAGATAATGCCAGGGCACCCACACCTGACAGGAGAACGACTCGGGTCCTCAGCCAAAGCCTTCAATTAAATGTACATCCGAAAGGCAGCGGGTCTAGAACATGGTCAGTACACTGACTCATGCGGGTTGGTGTCCTGGATTTTAGCAGGGAGAAGGGCGTAACCCACCTCCCACGCAGCGGTCGCCACGAGGAGGCGCCCAGGACATGAGCCCATGGTACAAGAGTAGCAGCAGTGTGTAGACCATCTGTCAGAATCTAGCCATCACAAGCCTCGGTGCACCATACGCTATACTGCCCAGCGTGGGGAAGCGGCATGTAGGGAAACCGAAGCTCTGTTACCAGGAAAGGATCAAAGCGGGCTTCTCACGTTCTAATGTTGATTGCAGGTCCTGGGAAAGGAAGCCGGTCGATCGGCGTGCATGGTGCGCTCTGATCACGAAGGCCGTTGCCCAGGTGCAAGAGAAGAAGCGGCAAATGCTGGTGAGAGGTGCCGATGATGTGTACTCCATCGAGCGTATGGTGCTGTAGCACATGCGGTTGCGAGTGTCTGAGTCAGGCAGGCCTGAGGATCCACGAGCGAGGCCACTCGGGACCAACATCGGAACGATGACAGGTTCTGCTGAGAAGGTAAGCAGAGCTGGCGCAGCGTTTGTAGGTACGCTGCATTCGATTTACTAACCACGCGCTGTTTATTTATTTAAGGTGGTGGTGCTATAGTGCCTTATTGAATTTTTTACTTCAACATCTACCTGAAAAAGTTTCGATTAACTTGCACACGACGCTTAAGCTAATTCTGGTCAAGATCGCTAAAATTTGCGCGTTGGTGGCATTGGTTAAAATTATATTTTCTGACATCATGCACTTATCGCGAATGTGTTGATAACCAAGTTACTACATGTGCACAGTTAGCGCAGATTTGTGCCAGCATTTCTATATGCTTTATCCGATATAAGTTATTTGTTATTTTCATTTCAAGTGATCGGCAACTGTTTGACATCCCCGGTATGACTGTGCTTGGTGTGCATGTTGACAAGGTGCCTACCGGCCTACTACACACTACCTCGTCCATACTGGCTTCAGGAGACAGTTGGTCGTTGCTGGATGGGACGGGGTGCACGGTCCTTGTGGCCGTGCTAGGCTCGAAGAGTGGTTCCATGCACTCAGTGGGGAGCGGACTACGGTCCAGCCACCGCCTTGTGTGCGCTTGATTCCCAAATACAGCGTGCTTGTGTTTGCCTGTGAAGGAGTGTGGGCCGGCTCCGTTGATGAAACGTGGTTCCCATCCACATGCCTCCCGGTCTTATTCCTTCGGGTTTACACTGGATATGGGTGGGTGGATGGAGCTGTGGGTGATGCAGCGCAAGCCATCCATGGTCCCTCTGTAAGCGCTGGCGTCCTGTGCCTGGCCACAGTGACAGGAAAATCCGAAACCGTATATATATATATATATATATATATATATATATATATATGTATATATATATATTCTTTGGATAGGTGTCTTAATCTATTATGTATGGTACGCGCGTATAAAGGTTGGCAAAAGCAAATATGTTGAGTTTTGATACTACGCGAATATTTTTAACCGTCAGTGTGGGCGCTTCACTCTCAAAGAAATGACCAGAGACCAATTCAAGTAGCTGGTATTTGTATGTGGCCTTCTGTCGCTTGGAGACTCAGATGTTTGCACTCGCTTACTCAGCAAGATGGAGCAGAACATTACAATGAAGCTGAGCATGGTCACTTCTGGATGTCGGTGTGTGCTGAACTTGAAGCGCGAGACAGCCAACTTCGGACGCAATGCAGCTCCATGTCTTAATAACGTGCATGCCGTTAAAAATAGGGCGCCAACCAAATCCGCTAGTTTTTTTTCTAGAAGTGGCACCTTCCAAAAAGCCCCAAACACAGAATGCTGGCAGTGCGGTGGTTGGTATTATGTCCGACTGTGTGCATCCAGAGAGCACCGCTGTCAATTATGTCAAATTAAGACATAAAGAGAAACCCTGCCGCTCAAACAATGAAACATTTGAGAAAATAGCCCTGTTAGGTGCCTGCATACCTCCCATGCCGCAGCCTCGGGCATTTCTTGCGACACTGTACCAGGTAGAGGTAAGTTTTACCGGCCACGCCTTGTACTTGACTAAAGACTTCACAGAGTATGATTCGCGATCGGCACCAGCAGAGCGTCTGCTGTCGTCTCGTAGTCAGATAGCTTGTTTAAAGTGTGTTTGGTGCTGAGTTATATGCGGGATAGTAGCTGGTTATGACGCGGAACAGTGAAAGTCGCAAGGAAGCTGTCTCGGTGATGCCACCTTATCCTTGCACGATAGCTGGTTGTTTGTGACGGTGTTTTGTCGACAAAGTTTTAGACACCTTGTTCTCGAATGTTGCTTGGGGGAGTTAAGTCGCACACTAGGTTCCTTTCGTTCACCAGGTCAGTCTGGTTGTGCGGCAGCGAAGCGCCAGTTCAAGTTACTCATGTACCGCTGCTGCTATTGACTTCTTGGAAGGGAGCATGAGAATCGGATACACTGACAGGAAACTTGCAAACAAGGTGCAGTCACGGAAATAATGACACCGCTCAATATGATCGCTTCACCTGACCCCTAACTGTCCGATTTAAGGGTAATAAATTACTATGTATTCACATGCACTCATATTTTCGCATGTATTATTTTCCCCCATCAGTAGATTAAATGCAACGTCACCTAAGGCAACTAGACCCATCGCGTTTTGAAGTGCGAGGAAAAGATGATCAACAGAGTTGAGCCGAACTGATGTGGGTAGCAACGTTGCTTCTGACTGTGGAAATATGGGCGCGTGAGCAAAGTTGAAAATCCGTAATGATTAATACATAAGAATGGACGATGAATGAGAGTACCAGATAGATAGTTTAAGGGTTGATGACTAGCTTTCGCGTGTTTATTAGGGTGAATTCGACGTTTACCAGTAGATGTCGTGCAGCAAAACGACAGTGTGAGAATTAGCAAATCGCACAATGGGGACATGTATCTAAAATAAACTCTTACTGATTAATTGGTCCTTTTTCATCCCTGATGTCTCCTCTTCGCTCAGCTCGTGTGTAAGAGATAACTAGGACAAGACAGTAAATACAAGGAAGTAAGTGGTGCGGTCGTAGTGACTACTGAAACAGCGACACAACCAGTGGTGTGAAATAATTTGAGATACTGGTAGCAGGGGTTGGCTGCACAGCTGTTGAGTGGCTGGAAGGTTTTGATAAAATAGTTGTATACATTTCGGTATCAGGCGAGGTGGCACTGTCAGTGCGGTGATGTGCAGTGAGAGACTATGTCTTCCGTCTGTGATCGACGGGCAGCTGACTTGTGAAGTTGACATCTTCCATTTGTGCTTTGTGACCTTTCTAACAAGCCACTCAGTGAGACAAAGCAACAAATATTCATCAAACGGTAAAACTAGGGTTTCGAAAACGTGACAACCATAGAATTTATTGGCAAAATTCGAAAATGCATTACGACCAAATGGACTACACGGGGAAATTCAGGAACAAATACCACACATAAGCGTTTAGCAATGACGCACATCAAATAATATAGTTCACCATCAAGACGACAGCAAGAAAGGATAAAAGTCATAAGTTTCGATGAGTAAATCGTTATCCTACCTGAGGATAAAAGACCCATGGTAATCATAATGGATAGAGCAGATTATATTGAGAAAGCAGAATGGCTTCTGAACGATACAACAAAGTACCGATGTATTAAATGTGATGCAATATCACAGTTTACAGGCCAAATAACCAAGACACTGAAGAAACTTCAGTGGTTGAACAAAAGCACAGAAGTAGAAATGAATAAAAGGAAAGTACGTGACTCAATCATCACAGAATTCTACGGGTTTCTAAAAGCGAACAAAGAGGGTGCCACATTACGGCCGATCTTTTTTTCTAGACACACCTACTGAAGGATCGGTGGGAGCACCTCAAACATCTATGCTGTGGATCGTATCACACAGTAAACGATGCTTAGCAATTTCTAGAGAAACTCAAGTACATGCAAATAGATCATGACGAAACAATGGTTTCCCTCGATGTCACCGCTTTATAAACATTCATCAACTGGTGAAAGAAGTATAACAGAATGCTGGACGACCAATAGTATTCGCAAGCTCTTCCAACTATGCCCGCGGAATTACTTTACTTTCAACTGAAATAGCTATGAGCAAGTGAAAGGGGTAAGGATGGGATCCCTAGTACCATGACTGGTCGCTGAGGTCGTTATGCAAAAGTTGGAAGACCTACTAGCAACGAATAAACCAGAATTTTGGGTCCGCCAAGTAGACCATACCTTTGTAATACCCCAACGTAGTGATGTGACAACTGAATATTGTATTACAGAGCAAGTAGAAAGGAATTCTGTACAACTCTTTCGAAATCTGGTGAAAACGTTACAAAAATTGTCATTCTCATGTAATATGTAAAATATCAGATTCACGGTATTGCAAGAGTCCCAAATGTGACATGTCTTCGTAATTGTGCAATCGTTCTCTGAATCAAATAGTGGTAAAATACAAAGCTAACAATATTTTGAACTGCTGCACAGATGTCGCCTCTATCACATATTCAGGCAAACTGTCCCAAATATTTACCACTCTCCGTTCGAAGCACAGTGGGTGGGGAACTCGCTTCACATCCAGCACGACAAATTTGTATCTAGGTCCGCGTGTGCTGCATGGCCCTCGAAAGTGCAGCATTGGCCTCAGCATGGGGACGCCACCGAGATGTAGAATACGGCAGGTCATAATGAGGTCGACTCGCACCCGACGGTAGGACAAGATGTAGAGTCCTAGTTTCTCGTACCGATCTTCATACCCCAAGCCACGTAAACTCGGGATGAGCCTGGTAGCAACGTGTTGGATGCGTTCGATCTCTTGTGCCTCGTCTCGGGTAATCGGAAATTAGGCGGGCGAACCGTACTCTAGCATTGGTCTAATGATGGAAGAGAAGAGGCGAGTAGCAACCTCTTCAGACCACGTGCCGAAGCTACGTTTGAGCGCGTAAAGTATGCGCAGTCCGTTACGATATAGTCTGTTTGTGTTTTCCACGGACTTCAAATCGTAGCACTAGAGTACACCTAAGTCCTTCACGGAGGGTGTGGGATATAGTGGTTGGCCGTCAAGGGTGTAGGTTCGGCCATCAGCACCCTTCTCCAGGCTCATAAATACAGACTTGGCTGGGTAAACCGAGAGACGAACTGCTGCAGACCATGTGGATAGGCGGTTGAGGTCTTGCAGAAGTACGCAACAGTGGTCGGGAGCGTCAATTCCTCTCCAAATCTTAATGTTGTCCGCAAACAAGACACACGGCGACCGGAGAATCTGAAGTAGATTGTTGATGTGGATCAGGAGAGGAGTGGGCCCCAGCACAGTGCCTTGAGGTACACCACTTGTAGAGGGATACCAGTCAGTTAGATGATCGTCGACCTGTACCATCCACTTTCGTCCAACAAGAAAGCCGCGGATCCATTAGTGCAGTGAGTCACCGACACTGCACATCCAGAGTTTGTGAAGGAGAACCTCATGGTTGAACTTGTCGAAGGCTTTACTTCGTCGACAGACTTCCTCTTGCTTATTGCCTTCAACCACTCATGCATCGTCACAAGCAAGTTTGTAATGCATGAGCGGCCCTTCCATAAAACTGCGCTATGCGGGCGTCAGGACCTCTTTTGACTGTATCAACTGCAATAATCAATTTTTTACGATTTTATTAGCAACCTTTGCCAAAATAGGTGTCAGACAAATTAGTCTGTAGTTGTCTACTTTGCAAACAACTATCGGCCGACGCAAAAACGGAGATTTGACATTTTGTGTGTGTTCTACGTGCAATCTTAAAGGATCGTGGATTATTATATACCCTTCAATTCCCCATTCCCTCAAACGAAAAACTTTGGGAGGATAACAAATGGTCTTGGGAAAAATGTGCTAAACATTTTCACTCACTTTGCCCCGCTTTGTAGTGGATTTCCCCTACTCATTGCATCACATACCAACCACGTTCCACTAATTCGGCTCGGAATTACCAGCTCTGTTCAGTGAATTGACAAGTGTAGGATTTATTTCATCGCCTCATCATAGAAATGGCTTTACTGATTTCGGAGGAGAAGTATCAGAACCTAACACTTTTTGGTCACTTAACAAAGTGCGTTACTGCGTTCCATAGAGCAATTTCTGATGCATCCAACAAATCCGGATTGGCCCATATTTGGTATTTTACAACGTAGCTGCGGAACAATTAGTGATCCATTGTTCGTCCACCGTTCACATGCAGCTTCGCAAACATCCGCCCGTTTCCCCAGTATAGCCAGAAAACAGCTCACAGCGATAAATCAATATCACAGGTGGGTATGGGTGGCGGCATCTGGTTTCGGATTTGCCTGTCACTGTGACCAGCCTCAGGACGCCGGCGCCTATGGAGCGACCATAAGTGGCTTGCGCTGCACCACCCACAGCTCCAACCACACACCTCATATCTAGTGTAAACCCGAATGAAACCTGGGGGCGACCTACCGGTCTTAGAGAGATTTGAAGGGACAAACGCTCATTTCAAGCGCGGAGCGCGCGAACGCCTTGACTACCTACTTCCTCACCATATTTTCCAGTAAATCCGCCGCTATTCCAGTACCGGTACAAGTTGCGCCAGGCTTGCTCGATAGCCTACATTAGGATGCAGTCGAAGTGTTTCAGCTACTTGTCAGCCTCAAGAGTGCAAAGCCCTCCGGGACCAGACGACCTTCACCCACTAATACTCAAGTCCCTATCGAATGTCATCTCACCAGCCGTGACAAACTTACTCAATGAATGACTCCCTGAAAGGTCTGTCAACAACGACTTGAAATGCTCGATAGTGAGACCGCTTCCCAAGGGTGGTGATCCGAGTAAAGTAGAGAATTATAGACCGATCTGTTTGACTTCGATCTTATCCAAAGATCTCGAGAAGGTTGTTAAAAAGTGTCTGCTGCCGTTCTTCGTATCGATGGACGAATTGACGCCAGTGCAACACGGCTTTAAAAAAGGGCGATCCTGCATCACCAACTTAAAGTACACAGACTTGCAGTGGGTACGAGCTCTAAACAAACGGAAGGATGTCGACGTGATGCACATCGAATTTAGTACGGCGTTTGACAGAGTGAACCACGAGGTACTCCTTCGTAAACTGAGGACATACGGAATCCGTGGAATGCTAGTTCAGTGGTTACACGAATTTATTGCCGGACGAAAGTTCAGAGTACAGGTTAATGACTACCTGACAGACTGGTCCCCGGAAGTTAACTGACCACTGGTTGGTTCAGCGTAGCTGTACGCCATCGCGCGCGTCCCCAAGTTGCGGATCGGGGAACGCCTCCCCTGTGAAGTTAACTGTGAATAATCCAGCTAATTCATCATTGTCACTCCCAATCAACAGGCTTAGGCTAGTCTGGAAAAGCATCAGACGCCGGCGTTTCGACAGTCTGGGTCTGTAGCAGTCTGGAGATTCCCCGGTTTGCCTGTGTAAAATACTAACTAAAATTATTTAATTGTACACCTAGGCAACCGGTGTGGTTTGTTGAACTGATTGCTGAGTTCGAATGCCTGACTCGCTCACCGCCATTTTTGCTTGGCGCTCGCTTCGGTTGCAACTCGCAACTGCCCTGTGTGCTGTGCATTCTCCGTTCCCCTAGCTAGAGCGTCCACGGTGTCGTTCTTTTATAGCTAGATAACAGGGAATCTTTTACTATACCAATAAAAGTTTCCCTGCAACTCGATCTGTCTTCTCGAATCGCTCTCTGGGCTCCCGGTACAGGCGACCCACTAAAGGTCTCGTCAGTGGTGCGCCTCCCGGCGGACCGCTGCCGGGTTTCGCCCCCATGACTTCAGGATGCCGGCAGCTAGTGCCGCTTCGCAATGGGTGACAGCCGCGGGCCTGCACAATTGGCAGTTAACTATGAGATAGCCCGGCTCATCTTCCACTGACATGCCAGTTACGAACTGTGCAGAGGACAATGGCTAGCCTCATGAGCTAGGACTTTTTGCATAGCGCCTATGTACTACATAGGACTCATCAGTACTATAAAATACGT